TAATAATTTATCATAAAAAAAACTAAAAATATTTAAGTGAAAAGGCCTGAAAAATACACTWATCATGYTCTCAGGAATAGAGTGCGARTACTACAACTACCATWTATGCAATATTTTTATCCGAAGTAGGGTGGTAGCAAGAACCAAGATGGCAGCCATTCGAAATGAGAAAYTGCGCATGCTCTCACTTAGYGTGCATRAAAATTGAACGAAAAGTTGCTGGAGGGAGTGAAACTGACTGTACAATCGTACTGCAGGCTACCGACGTYTTCAGTTCTTCSGTATTGACATTTCTGCTTAGCTGGAATCAGTATGAGATATGGAAAAAAAAAACACTTAATTTTTACAATACTCACACTGAAAGGAARTGCGGTCAGAAAAATTAAGAAGAAACAACAGACAAATGAAATCGGAGAAGCTTTTCAATGACACAGTTCGACCTCYAGCACCATGTGTCTTTGAAGTAAGTYTTTTTTTAATGCAGAACAGTTTGACAAAGCCGGAACTGAGCTTCTGGGCACACCGGTGTTTTTCTACTTTCCTTCAATTGTTACTGATATCATTCCGCCATATGTTTACATCGTAATATTAATAATTTGTGGCCTGAAAGTGATTGATTTTGAAAAAATATATACAAATGTAGAAAGTCTGTGGTTCAAACACTCATGTAAAGTACATAAGCATGGCAAAGAGGTAATCGAAAACATGCATGAATGAGAAAAAGGAAACCTTGCTGACTGAGACGGCAAACAGATACACAAGGGCCGACGCGCATAAAAGCTACTTTGTGGTTGAAATTTCGGAAACAAAATCTTAGACCTAACAGTATTTGGTCAAAAATGAATGAAGAACAAAGGCTAAACTTAAAAGATACATCAGGATGTGCATGTGGTATTCTTCGTTTTCACTATATGTCCACCGCAGCGGCCGCCATCTTGGAAGATCTTCAATAAACAATTTCTCATTAGTATCTATTGTTCATTCCTCCAACATGGCCGTCGTTCTTATATCTTTTGAATCTCATAGGAATGGTTGAAAACGATCATTGGGTGCTGCAAGTGATAGAAAAATCACTTAGTTCTTTTCTTTTTCTCTTTAATAGAACCACAATCTTTCGTCAGGGGAACTCTATCTTGATAAAGGTTAACCGCCCTCTTCTATTTTCAAAAAGGATATGCGACTCTTCCATCTAACAATTCAAAAGACAGGCAAAAAAGGACGACACTTAAAGCTACTTTAGCTTCAATTGGTAAAACACCAAGTTATACTGAGGCACGTGAAAATACAAAGTAAAACACAAWACACATTTTGGGAAGATTGGGACGATTATGATGGACACTGGCTATTCTTAGTTTTCACTATACGTCACGGACATATAGTGACTTCTGTAGGTCGCGAAACAAGGTACAATGTTTTGCGGTTTAATACCGCTTTGCAGAATAAGAGTCAGTTTACTAGAGTGATCGCCCTTAAAGCTCGCAACTGTACAAAATCTAAGTAGTATTAATTTGTACTAAAAGTGGACCTGAAGCAGGACGGTTTGATTGAATGCTTCATTTGTATCAATTCAATTTAATTTGCGTACCGCATGCACGATTTACTAAATACAACTAAATAGAACTATTTAGTTTGTACAGTTGAGATCACTCTAATACGTTTTTAGCATCGCTTGCAAATTTTTCGGTTGAAGACAAAACATTATTTTTGATTAGCTTGCAATGTTTCTGTATTACAACAAGAAACAACAGTGACAGTCTCTCTATTTGTCTCTGGAAGTAAATGACTATCGTGCAAATGTCGTGTCATACCTTCATTGTTGTCGATGCAAATTCTGACGTCATCTGCGTATCGTTGAGAGTACAGCGACGCTAAGCATCACAACTCAGCCTGCGACTGTAGTCAGGTTTCAGCCGCACCCCTCCCACCTTGCGTTGATCTTAACATCGTTAGAGGATGCCCCCCAAACAGTCTAATTGTAACTGTCATCATGTTCATTAATACGGCGCTCTTCCTTTTCCTTATTTCCAAATGTTTCTTTGTAACTGATTGATGTAGCTGATCACTATCAAAACCGCATTGAATAACAACAGTTGAAACAGAAAGTCACTACACGTGGTCTTGATAAAAAGAAAGACCATAAATAGATTGCTATACGAAGGCTGTCAGGAGACTGCTTTTACACCAAGACACCTGCAACATGAAAGCGCACGCGTTTAAAATCTGCTTGGTTATGCACTAGAAATGTTTTAGCATATTGGAAGAATATATATGAACGAGTATTAATTGTAATCCAATCTTATTGGCTTATTGATTATTAGGTATGAATATTTGCAACATAACTTTTATTCTTCTGTTCTTTTTTTAGATYTTATTTGTTTTGTTATTGTCATAGCGATAATTGATCAAGCAAGCAAAGGATTTACCATCTATAAATACATACGACTATGCCTCCGTGGTTCTTGTAGTGACTATTGAGGCACGGACACTGACTGCTTCGCGTCTACCGCAAAAGCCTGCCCGGGCTTTAATGTCTTGAATTCCTATTTAGCCGATACCATTTTTGTTTTTGCACCATACATTAATAAAACAAAATATTTTTAATTTGATAGTATAATTAAGTTTCGCTGCTAAGATACTATAATCTCTCAGCAACACCAAAATACTAAAGTATTATAAGTTGTGTCGTCGCTTTTCAACTCTCTTTTCAAAGAAAACAAAATGACGTTTACGACTGAACTGTTGCTAGGTTGACATTGAAAAGAAAGAAAATTAAATAAACAGCTTGAAAAGAACAAACATTAGCTAGCTTGAACATCGGCGTCTAAAATTGAACGAATCTTGTACACGAATGCTGTCAAATACCAAGCATTGAACACATTGGTGACGATTTTAGATTTTTGTAATGCCTCATTAGACTTTTAAACAATTATACCATGCAAGGAAAAACTCTCGCTCATGCGGCGTACCAACAACTCCTATCAATCATGTGTAGATTATTTATAGCACAATTATCATCAGCAATCTAGAAACATCTACGCGCGCATGCAGAAAAAATAATTGTTCACTGGGCGCCAGCTCCCAACACTTTAATACTTAAAAMAATATTTCCCTGTTGTAGCCCTGTAGATTGGAACTTTCAATAATAGTACATATTGTACGAAAATAACCACTGAATAATAAGACTTCATAAAAATGATAAATAGACTAACATCAGTTTATATCGTGAAACTAGGCGATTTCGCCGCCATATCGGATCTGAAAATGCTTTATATTGGAAATGACACAGCCTTTCAGTTAGCTTCCGTCTTAAATCCTTTAGTTTATCGTTTTTTCAAGGGGCTTTTAACTCATAACACTGGAACCGATTGGTCATTTTGCAAGTAAATATCACTTTYAATCGATCTTCAGTTTTGTTTTACTTCCTTTGTAATGAGAATGCTTTTATGTGGTCGTCAGCCTTCTCCGGACGTGTGCTTCAGTTGTAGTTTCTCGCTGGATAAGCTTTACAGAATTATATCCAGCCCAGTCGGTCGCCCGATAATCCATCATTTGAATTCACGATGTGTAGTGACTATGAACACTTTGATAATGCTATGGTTGTATTTTTTTCAGACTTTATAAGATGCTAATATACGCTATAACTGATATGAAACAATGTTCACTTATCTATTTTAGCATTGCAGGGGAAGGGGAGGAGGAGGAGGGGGAGGGGGTTATCATTGTGAACTGTGTCTAAGGGCCTCCCCTGTTAGTGCACGTTTTTCAGCTATTTGTCAATTTGTTGAGTCATTTGGCCAATGAAATGGTTTAATTGATAAATATGATTCAACGATCTGCTGTCTTTCGTTTTGATCATTACGTCATTTCCCATTCTGTCCCGCCAGTGACAGCGTAATCAATTGTAATTGTTTTGCCTATCACATCGTCGAGGAGCTAAAAATCATTTTAATGACGTCACAAATTAACCGGCTTCTAAAGGACTCTAAGAATCAAGAAACATRCCTCTCTTATCATTTCCACATTTGATTAAAGTGTGCAGCGCACACAAGCTAGACCAAGCTATCTACATTGTAGCTTCCTTTTGGAATTGTCTATGACTTGTAAAATCTCAATCGCATGTAATTGTAGACACTCGTTTAAGTGAAATGTATGTACTTAAACCGTGGCGTCTAAAAATAWAATTCTTAGGAATCCATTCTTATGTTTCCAGTAATTTATTTATTTTTTATTTATTTATTTATTTTTATTGGAACAGTATTTTTGTTGGCCGTCATCCGGGACTTTGTGATCTCTTATTACCCATAGTGCATCACGGGCGTGTTTGCTTAGTGTGCGGGCGTGGTTTTGAAGGTTCGATGCTCGTAGCAGCAATAACGCCATAAAGAACCAAGCAGGAAAACACTGTACTCTTACCAAAAAATATTCCATGGCRGACTCATGATCAACGTTYTCGCCATTTGGACGACACTGGAACACATTTGAAACATCCTTCTTGGATTTTGACTACAGATTTTGAAGATTTTTGAGCATAAAAGGCGATTGTTTCGGTTGGAAATTAAGTGAAGTCTTGCATTGAAATCTCTCTCTCTCGTCATGGGTTGTACTTTGAGCGCCGAAGACAAGGCGGCTGTCGAACGGAGTAAAATGATCGACAAAAATCTCCGGGCTGATGGGGAAAGAGCAGCTCGCGAAGTAAAGCTCCTCTTATTAGGTAAGAAGACAGGCTTTTAGAGAAATCTGAAGAGTTGATCTCGGTAAAGCGGCCAAACGATGTAGCATATTTCGGTTTTCATTTGGCCACAACTTCGCTGTTTGTTTTTATCAAGACTTAGTTGGGTTTCGCTATAGAAAGCCTAACTTATGTGCCCGTACTTTCTTCGCAGACAAAGATTTTTAAAGCGCAGAAAATGAAATTATTTTGTTCGGTTATTAGGACGTTAGAACAAAATTGATGTGATGTGAGCAAGGGGGAAAACGAATTGTTGGTCATTTTCTATACCAGGTGTACAGCAGTATGATCAACCTAGCAACATGGATCGTGTTTGTACCTATCGATGGCCATTTACAATTATCAACAAGCTTCMTATGTTTAAACCATTTTCAAGCCCAGCTTTAATCATGAAAAAAAATATTATTCTCTATGAAAGGCCGTAGTGTCCTGGTCGCCAGATCACCRCACCACGTTGTTTTGAAACAGAATTTTTTGTTTTCTTTGAATTTTATCCTCGTCTTTTAACTTTACCACAATAACTAAGATAAAGTTTTCAAAGGGATTCGAGGTGGTTGTTGTAGTAGATTGATAATCTTGTCGATTTGGTCGATGACAAGGGATCGGAATGGACAAGTAATGTTGCTTCATTTCCCTGTAGAATTTTGTTCTGACTTGCTCCGATCAATCTCCGATTACACAATTCGCGAACTGTTCTCTCTGTCGAAAGTGAACCCAAACCTTTTGTCATTGCATTACTTAATCGACTTTATTATTAGATTGTCGTGTTCATTTTCCAATACATTTTGTMATTTTTTGCATTATTTTGATTTTTCTATAAGCTTATTACGAAATGTTTGATCGAAAGTAGATATTTTTTTTGGTTTCGATCGTGTGGTCTGCTCAGACAGGTCCCTAGCACGACAATTCGAACTACTTCTACTAAATATTTTGTAAAAATAGTCGTTAAAYTTCTGTTTTTAAACGCTTTACACGTCGAAGGAGATTTTTTGTCGAAGTTTCTTTCTGCCGTGCGCTAAATCTGATTACTGTATTGTAGTTTATACAGTTGAATCTTTACAGCTAGTATTCGACACCTCTATAACCACAAAAGAACAGTTCCGAAAAAATATATATAAGCATTAGAAAATACACAATGCTGTACTTGAACGGTCTATGGCCCGTGAAACATTCWCGAACTGTTTGTGTTTTTTTTTCGTGCTCGTTTCAGCAACCAATTCCGAAGTTTTAATCCAGCCATCTGTCTTACTTTTGAAACCCTTGATATCCTGGTTTATACTTTTTGAAATGATATGTAAATAAGCGAATTATTAAGAAATAGCCTGTCTGTCGAGAAAACTCACAGCTTTTTTGATTACTTTTTGCCGGTAAATTAATTTTTCATCCACAAATAGATTTTCACTGAATTTGCAAATGATGGTTTCAGAATATTGAGTTTATGATTTAATCTTGTAATCTTTTACCCAATTACAATGCCTTTGGCAGCATAAAGAAAAGAAATCTTATCGAGTGACGAAAGCATGTAAATATTCCCTGTCAGTAGGGGAGCAATAAGTGTTTAACACGATGACAGATTTTTTTGTTTCRGTGTTTATGTTTGTATATTTATCTTAGTTTTATAGGTCAAATACATTACCTTCCTTGGTCTGTGATAGGAGATTGAATACTTGATAATCATCSAATGTTATTTGATGTCTCTAAATAGTTACAATTAATGTACTATTATTTGAGCTATGTCACCAGGGGTTCTGTTAACTTAAAGAATTGTCCTTAATGTCAATAAAAACATATGAAACATCTATGTTTCTAAATCAAACTTTGATAAAACACAAACTTCCACAAACTATATCCATATAGCACTCAAAATCAATAGAAAATCTTTCTGGTCAAGTGTGCAATTGGATGAATAAATGTTGTTTCTGTAGTGGTCTGAAGTACATGAATATCTTGAAATGCTTTGGATCATTGAACTTTCAGCTGCCACTTCCATTCATAAATGACTACAACGGAGAAACCAAGCAAAAAATATACCAAAAATATACCCAGCAATTATCATTGTTATATATTTGTACACGCTCCAACAATAACAGGAAAGAACTAAAGAATACCACAGATTATTTAAAAATTAACACACTTGTGTTTGTAAAATAAATGAAATTACAGGAAACAAAGCTCTTTTGTAACTCTGTGTAAATGTTTAATAGATCGTAAGATGTTAATCCTCTCGACCATTGTGTGATAAAGAAACAAATAGCAGATTATCTTTCAAATATATGTAGTTATTTTGGTTTTTGGAGGTTGTATAGTAAAGTACAGTAAAGCTATCTATTTTGATAGGCTTAGAAGTTGAGATATTACTCTGTTAATGATGTTCACCTCAAGTTGATGTAGTGCAGGCTTCATTTTTCAATACACTAATTTATTGTCTAAAAATAGTGTGCTTTGAATAGCAAAAATCATTCAGTATTAAGTCAGAGGTTTTTTTAGTAACATATTATCCCTGTCTTTGGTCTCATTAATTGTTTACTGTTTCCTTATGAAGCCAAGTTTCTGAGCCATATGTTTTGTTTGACTTTCTTGTTTATTAAARGTAACTTGACTTGAGTCATGATGATATAAGCTTACTGTAGATTTCTKAGAGCCTTACAAGGAAAGAACATTTGAAGTTATCTTTGTAGTCTATCGTATTAAAAGTCATTGTATTCATAGCCTTTCAATTCCAATCCCATAAATTTATCATGACTTTCTTTCATTGAGATTTTRAATTTATGCTTGGGTGTGTAGTCGCTTAGCAAGTCGCTTTTCACATTTAAAGTGCAYCTTCTCTTCTTTTTGTCACCAAGGCGCTTGGAGCAATTAATTGTTTTCACGCCATTTAGCTTTCGTTAAGTTTATACACCTGCGCATATCCAAAARTCRTGTTTTCTGGGCCATTTCAAGAGGAAATCCCRATAGAGTCTTAATGGCCTAAAAGCTTAGCTGCCATTCAGAAASCAGATATAATTGGATAGTATTTTTGAAGGTTTTTMAATATATTTATGTATTTACAGGTGCTGGGGAATCAGGAAAAAGTACCATCGTCAAACAGATGAAGTGAGTGCAYACTATGATTATCTGAATATTAATGCAGCACAGTTAATGAATGCTTATGTTTTGTGGTGCTATAAAAATTTAATAGTATATGTTGGCTATTAGTGTGTATTACCTTAAAATTACCTGCTTTGCTTAGCGATAGTTCCATACAGTTCCATGTTTTGTGTTTGAATGTCTTTTTTTGTTATTTTAACATATGAATTGCATCTTTTATTTATGKTTTACAATTGTCATTTAAATCGGTTTATATTTTGTACCAAGAACAAGTTTTCAATAAGAAAGTTGTTATATTTAGTGTAAATTATACTCATACAGATATATCGTTTTCCCATTCACTTAACCAGGGGTTGGAAATCAACTCCCTGTATAAAATTAAAAAAAAAAATTCTGTTCATTTATTTCTACTTGATAATGATCTCATCTTGCATATCTTGGGTGCATCAAGTCACTCGTTTTGAAGTGGTTGTCCTCGGGATTCCTTAATTGAGCTTTTAGAGTTGTTTTTATATTACAAGTTATGTACTCATATAATGGATATTACATTTATATGTAAATATTTTGACCCTCTATAAAATTTTGTAATTTTGTAAATTTATGGGCACGAGTGGGCATATTATTAAAAATAATTAAAAATTACTAATGAAGAAGGCTGCACATTGACCTTTGACAACTTTGAGTTTCAAATTGAACAACAAGAAACTATGATCAACTGCTTTGACCAACAGTGAGCTGGTCAGATCTCACCTAGTTGTGCATGCTCTTATAGAATTTATAAACCTATCCCACATAGTTAAAATGCCTAAAAACGCCTGACTGTTCTTCTTATTGAGGGCCATATTCTAGGCTAGCATTTCAGTATGCTTATTTTCGGTCTGTTTGAAATATAGAAAAATCTATTGACACCATATTAGATCCATGACTTTCTTATAAGAGAAATGAATTGTGCAATAAAGCAATGTTAGTTATCCTTCATCTGACATGATCAATATAATATGACTAATGTGTAATTGAAGAATATAATGCTAATAAAGTATTGCTTAAAAAATGACCAGCAGAGATTAAAAAGTCCTGCTAACAGATGTGTTAGATCTGAGGGCGTGTTTTTTAAGAWTCCAGGACCTGTCTAGCATCAAAATGATTGGTAATCAATACTTAAGCATTAATAGCAGAAAATAGGCAACTTGGTAGTGCCAGTAGTCTGGCTTTAAAGCGAAATCTATATTATATGTAATACATATATGATTATGAGCAAAGCCTTGAATTAGGCTTGGTTTTGAATTTCAGTCTACATGTATTTGGTTGTTAATTCGATATTTTTTTCCTATGCCCAAAGACTTATGAATAAAGTAGTAAATTTTTTATTACTCTCAAATAAAATGCTAATGTAGACTAAAAAGCACCCTAATATTGTGATTTCAGTGAAGTTCAATTCCCACTCTCTTTCTTTTGCATCTATTAACAGTGATATTCCTAGTTTGACGTCTTTAACAAATAACAGCTAATGAATGGACAGACAGAATGTCTGGCAAATCTCAAGTTTTGATGTCAATTTGCATAAAAATGACATTTGAACTTGACATTATCCGTTTACTGACTTTTGTTGTTGTTGTTTTGTTTTTTTTGTTTGCCCTATCTTGCCTTTTTTAACCAYCAATGATTTTTAACCATAAATTTTTATTGAGACAAATGTATATTGATTTTTATATTTTCTTCAACAGAATTATTCATGAGTCAGGGTACTCAAAAGATGAATGTGCCCAGTACAAACAAGTTGTGTATAGCAACACAATCCAGTCTATGATAGCCATTATTAGAGCTATGGGAACACTAAAGATAGATTTTGGTCAYGCTGCTAGAGCGGTAAGTTTAGTACGGGAAACATACGGTAGAAATTACTGCACAGTTAYCGCAYRGTTACTGGACCTGGCCTGCAYAATTTTTGTGAAGCARTGRGRCACTAGAATTTGGTTACAGTACGATTACGGTTACAGTACAGTACCRTCCGTTCCCCACTCATACGAAATTGACTCTAAGGCAATGATGCTCATTACTTATTTCAGCTTAAAATTAGAAAAGAAGTTGATTTTTTTCCAGAGGGATTTCTGCCTGTAAAATGCAAATTAGTAATGAAGATACACCCTGAGAATAAATAAAGATTGTAGTAATTTTATCTATTTTGCATTCCAATTGTAAATAATATTTATAATGTTAATTTTATAAGATAAATGTGTAATAAGCAATTTGTAAAATAATGATCTACAAAGTAACGGGATATTGTGGTTGATATTTTTTGGAGTTGCCCAGTAAAAAAAAACTTTCTAAGAAAATAGCCATGATATCCCATAATTTCCAATGCCACTGTGGTCAGAATGTTTGCAAAACCTGTATAGGGTTGCTAGCAAAGTTTCAACCGACTGACATTTACATGTATTTTAAGAGCAAGTGCATCATGGGTAATTGCAAGTGCTTTTAGTTGTGTATTTTTGTTCAACATGTAAATCAATGAAACTTGTTGAACTTATGTATATTTAGGGTAATTATAATAGTGAAATATCTGTTTAAAGGCTGATTTACACGGCACGATTGTCTCGTGCGATTTGTAGTATACAACTTGAATCGCGTGTAAATGTCCCTATGACTCGTCTACAACAGTCGTACGCAACCTACAACTTGTAGTAGGATTTTGAACCACTGCTTAAAATCCTACGACTTGTAGTAGGAAAATCGTATACTACAAGTCGTGCGCGACAAACGTACCGTGTAAATCAGCCTTAAGTATGCAGTCAGAATTTTATCATGAAATACTTTATTATTATACAGTTGTATTATATGAATGGTGTTGAGAAAGATTGATTTAATAATAAAATGGTGTTGAGAAAGATTAATTTGATAACAAAAAGTTGAATTATTCAAAGTGATAATTATATTGATTTGAATTTACTTTGGAATTGTTGTTTGCACATATGCTGTTATGTTTACATTGTTTTTCCTCATTATTTACCCAGGATGATGCAAGAGACATGTTTGCACTAGCAGGCAGTATGGAAGATGTTAAATTCACTCAAGAATTGGTATCGATAATGAGAAGATTATGGTCAGATTCTGGAGTGCAAGCTTGTTTCGCTCGATCAAGGGAGTACCAGTTGAATGACTCCGCATCATAGTAAGAGAATTATTATAACTAGAGCTTTATAGATCACTCAAAAAAACCTTGTGTGACATTATGAATTATTGATATTATTTGCAGTTCCGTTTAATTAAATGGTCTCGTCAATCAAAACTCTGGACCAAAACTCCTTTTGAGACACCTTCATCAAAGCTACAATTGTAGATTAACTCCAGATATTTGCAARTGACGAAGGAATAAAAAAGCGCTATGCATTGTGGTTTTAAAGCGATTGTCTACAAACATCTTTGGCTTATTGCCAAATATGGTGTTTGTTCTGAAGCTAGCCCACAATGCATCATGACTTTTTTTAGTGTTGATTGACAGGAACAAACTTAACACCTGTTGTCAATGGATTGTTAGATGTTTTGACCTGCTTCATCAAACAAAGACTTTTGCTTTCATAAGCATATTTTCCATACAATTTTCTGAACTAACAACTTAAAGTTGACAAAGAAACACAACTGCTGGTYGCGTACTGTCTCAAAAGGGAAATGAAAATTGAAAATTTCTAAAAAAAAGATTCTAAAACTTGTGTTTGAGTTGATGAGGACGATGATGATATAAAAATGAGGTTTTATGAGTTCGAATGCATGTTTTTGTCCCACCGGTATTTTGTTRCTTTGAAATGATTGCTTAAGATTCAAATGAGAAAAGATCAGCAGCAATTGATTGAATGAACATAGGCAATTGAGTCTTGTAATGGCAAAATAAACAATGTTGACAATATGACATGAAAGCTTCATTGTTGTAGTAGTCGTGAGCTCTTGTAACGACCTCTGGCAAATTGACAGTGAAAGTGAATTTGTGACAAGAGTGTGTTTAGTGTGTAATTGTATTAAAGAAAAAACTTATCGAAAAACAACRCCATTAAATTAAAACATGATTCATAATTATGGCGGATCCAGCTTGTTTGTTGTGGGCTGTGGGCCACCACCTTCTGACCTTATACTATTTGATGTGGTGTGCAGTCGTTCATCAGGTTCAAGGCGAGGACTTGACAAAGTTTTATTTGACAGACAACTCTATCATGCAAAGACTTTCAGGAAACAAAAGAAACCATAAAAACATTACAATGGCTTTATAAATTTAAGTTTTCATTGAGTTGTTGTTGTTGTTGTTGTTGTTTTCGATAAATGTAGCTGTCAAAAAAAAAACAGTTGTCACTTGCTTTAAACCTGCTTTAAAATAGTTCTACAAATTTAAATTTTCCCAAACCACCTAAAGTGTAAATCCTTTGGGAATACAAGCTCAGCCTCAATTTGGAGAAAATTCAAATCACAGGGCTATAGTAATGACAACATTATTTTGTGCTTTATTTATAAATTCTGGTGAGGTCTTCGCACAGAAGAATCTGTTGTCAAATAAAGCAGCAWTCACTTGTTTTTGAACTGAAAGCAAGCATATTTTGCTATGGTTTATCAAAGAAACAAGTCAAATAAAACAATAATTTTGATTTTTTTGCAGCTACTTAAATGCACTAGACAGATTAGGTTCACCGGACTACATTCCAACWGAACAAGATGTACTACGAACAAGAGTTAAGACTACAGGAATCGTTGAAACACACTTTACATTCAAAGACTTGCACTTTAAGTAAGCATTTCACTCATATAAGGTTTTCTGAACGTTTGTTTTTATTCATGGTCAGTTATTGAATAAGATTAATGGGGGGGGGGGGGGGGAGGATCTGCATGCTTTTGATCTGTGTAAATTGCATTGTGCAACAATGTACACAATCATTGTTGATTGTACATGTAATTGCCTATCAAAACTGTTTACGACACTTATATTTTTTAAATTGTTTAGTTTGTGAATTAATATTTTTTATCACATTCCTTTTCCACTGCTATTATTTCTATTTTTGGTTTTGATTTCTTCTCACTGTGCCAGTGTGGATAAAGTTAACCAACTATTTTTCATAAAGTTACCAAAGTTACCATTGATTTTCTCTGGATTTGAAAGGGTAATAATAACTCCATTCATCTTTTATGCAAGGAGCCCGGTAGATTATGTTTAAATTAGGAGTTCTTTCAAAACATTAGAAAATAATTATTATAAATCACTTGTTTCTTGTAGTTAATTTTAGTTTGTTTATTTATTTATTTTTGTCTGATAACATTATTTCTTCTATTAAAAGGATGTTTGATGTTGGAGGCCAGAGATCAGAAAGAAAGAAGTGGATACATTGTTTTGAAGGAGTAACGGCCATTATCTTTTGTGTTGCTTTGAGTGCATACGACTTGGTCCTTGCTGAAGATGAAGAGATGGTATGTGATTAATTTTAAGAAAGGATATATATACAGAGTATTATAAAACAGCTTGAGGGCATGGTTATTTACCTAAAATAGTACAAATAATTTGAAAAAACTGAAAACTATCAACTGTTCAAATTCAACATTTTTCATTTAGTTTTTATTTGCATCTTTTTTGATTACTCAAATTAATRAAATTCATAGCATAARTTGACYGTACAAATTGATTGTTGGGGACATAGTGGTGAAACTCAGTTTTTGTAGAATTCCTCAATATTATTGAATGATTTACGACTTTCAGAAATAKACAGAAAGGCACTTGACCAAAACAGCCCCAAAACACATTAACTAAAGTAGAACACTTTGAGAGAACTATCCTGCTGAAGACTATTGGTTAGGCCCCTGCAGAKAGCAGGGGAGTAGAAAATTTCTCAATCAAAAATACATTGTATCAAAACAGCTGAACCTTGATTAGAAAAATGGGCTAGACATCCCTGGGATGCCGTCATGAGATCTAAGACATGTGTTACTTTTCTATTATAAGAAACACATCTAATTTTTTCCATTTGTTTGCTTTTCAATTTTGCTTAAAGGAGGGCAGTGTATGTCTCCCACAAGGATATGTTAATTAAAATCAAACTAGAATACAAAACAAAATCGAAATGGTAGAAGGTATAGCTTGCAAAAAGATTAAAACTTTAGATAAGGCGATAGTTTTGATATGATTTAGACAAAAAAAAAAAGAAAGAAAGAGGAAAAAAAATATGGTGAGGTCGTAAGATACCTAGTTTTGTAATTAAGTGATATGGASAGTTTTTGCTCAATTTTCTTAAATCTTCCCTAGGGGCAGTGATTTGTCTATATTTTTTTTTCCCATCGTAAAATCAAGAAGAATTGTGAACCATGAGTTTCTTTCTAAAACAGTTTCTTACCAAAAAGTATTTAATTCTAAAATAAGAAAAGTACACTGTAAACAGCATTGTGAGGAAAATACAAATAGTTTTTTTTCAAGTTGAATCAATTTATTCTATTAGAAAAAAAGTATAGTACCACCACAACAATTATTCAGCAATTCAGTCTTCAASTCTTCTGAGTAAAATATTCTATTGTAACATTATCTTTTTCTTTGAATTTTCAGAACAGAATGATGGAGAGCATGAAACTTTTCGACTCAATCTGCAATAATAAGTGGTTCACAGACACATCCATCATCTTGTTCTTGAACAAAAAAGAYTTGTTTGCAGAAAAGATTACCAAATCACCCTTGTCTATTTGCTTCCCTGAATATACAGGTAATTATTGCCACTTCTGCTGGYTGTCAAATGGAAATCCCAGTAAAGTACATATTTTTTACTAAGTTTGCTTTCCTTAAGTGSTGAATTCGCTCCATCTTCTCCCATTGGTTGATTGTGGAAATTTGCTTGGGGTATTGACRAAAACCTCTATCCAATATATAATTAAACAGGATTATTTCAGTTACTTCCACGCAACGTGCCCCCCAGGAATGAACAGTTGTTTATATTTTTAGGAAAGGTCAGTTAATTTATCGTTCGTCAACACAGGTGAAACGCAAACTTTGATAAAATCAGGTTTTTTGTTGATAAGTTTTGATGTTACAGATAATATATATCTAGACAATTAACCTTGTATTTTATGGTATTTGCTTTTCATTAAGGACAAATGGTTTTGTTTATCAGGGTCAAATACCTATGAAGAAGCTGCAGCCTACATTCAGATGCAATTTGAAAACCTAAACAAAAGAAAAGACACTAAAGAGATCTACACACATTTTACCTGTGCAACAGATACCAATAATATCCAGTTTGTCTTTGATGCGGTCACTGATGTGATTATTAAAAACAACCTGAAAGACTGTGGTCTCTTTTAATAGAAAAACCATACATAAGAAGCTGAGCTCAACCAGGTACATATTAATGAAAAAGTGTTTAGTGATGCAAAATGCTGACAAGGCCAAGCAGGCAGAAACAGCTGCTCTTTGTTTTGATTCACTTTTTAATCTAAATAACTTCCCGTTTTCATGTTTTTGTTGAAAACAATTCTAATTGTTTATTTTCTTRTATTATTGACTGTTTSTTTGCATRTTTTAGTCAAGTCATAGTAAAAATGTTGTCTTTTTTTATCTCTGTTGAACAATATTCTCTTACCAACAGTTGAATTCTCACAGACATTCCTTAATTTCTTGTCTGCTTTTATTAAAYGTATCTTTCCTGTCTCAATTACATAATGTTTAAATCTTTAAAAGCAAACTCCAGGAAGTACATGAGTTTAGAATCAATCTTAAAGTGAAAGATGTCAAAGTATTACCAATCAATGAGGCACTTTACCATTCAATCTCACATCCTAAGCTGTTGTCAACCCCAGTGAAGTCAATTGACACGTATTTAGGAAATGGCTTGGTATTGGTACAATATTAGGAAATGACTGTCAAACCATGAACAGTTTTTGACTTTTTTTGATTTTGTATGATTTACGTGAATTAAAGAAGGGACTAATTTGTGCATTACATATTTTTWTTAATGTTTAGATGTAAAAGTGATCGATAATGAAGTAATGATTTTTTTTTCTGTTTTCACAGATGTGGCAGTTGGCAGCAGTGTGTGTACATTATCCTGTAAAGATCACATAACAATAGCAATCATAAAACTGTTTTTATATTAAGTGCATATAATATTGCCAATCCCTTGTTGAGTTCAAGTGCAGAAACCAAAAATTCAATTCCTCTTTGATTTCCCAGTCATGCATTGCAGCCACTGAGAACTGCCCATGCGAAGTCCCCAGAGCCTGTTGATCACAAATTAAGGAAGCACTGGTGGMTGCAACCAAAACGTGATGTAGATTTGACAAACCAGATGAGATATGATACCATTTTAATGTGTAATGACCGAGCCATTTGGTGGCTATATCCTTGTTTCAAGTATTCTTTCCAATCAGACAAATGGTTAAGTGCAGTGCATAGTCATAAATCTCATCATATTGGTGATTGGAAAATAAGGAACAGGGTTGTACAACAACTAACTAGCAACTTAAAAGTGTCCTTAGTATAAACTAAGTTGAACCAATGCAAAAAGCAAGGAGCATGGAGGTGTATATCAAGTGGCTGTGTACAAATCTTAGTGTATAAAAAAATAGCTCAACTTTGATATTTTGTCTGGTTTGGAACCTGTTTAGAACGTGTTTTTGCTTTCATTTGATGTCCACTTTCCCCTCCAAGAAGGTTAATTTGATGTGTTTGTGTATATTCTTACCATCGGTGCATGTACATGCCATTTGGACTGTATCTMGTAGTAGATACAACAAACCAATAATTTAGTTTATTGTGAATGAGATAGTAGAAATAGATAATGTAAATCTACAGTACAATTCAGGCTGGCCGGATGATTTTGTCATAAAAGAGTATTAAAGTATTATGATTTTATTGTGTCTGAATTCTGTTTTTGTTGCTCAACCTGAAATCTGGWRGTTAACAGATAATCTAACTTCCTCCTCATACAACTCCATTATGAAGAAGTTTTACAAGCGGCTGGGATTTACTTTGCAGAGGAGAGATGTCTGCAGAGGAAGTTACAGATGACTATGTTTTCTGAACAAGTCGGAACACTGTTTGCAGGGTATTTTGACACACACTCTATGTTGCCAAACATATATGCTACATATTCCTTTTTGACCTCTTATCTGGGAATGCCCTTAATTTAATTTTCCAACCTTTTTCTCTTGAATTCAATTAAGATTAGGAAACTCAATCTCTGCYTTAAGGGCAGGTGGTGATTACCATGTGTGCACAGGGAGAGCTATCTTGATTTGCGTCTACTGTAAACTGTACAAAACTGTACAAAATCTAAGTAGTTCTAATTTGTACTAAAAGCGGACCTGAAGCAATGACAATATTAAATGCTTCATTCGTATCGATTCAATTTAATTTGCTTACCATAATTACACTCTTTTGTGTTTTAAATGAAGCATGCACGATTTACTAAATACAACTAAATA